CTCCATTCAGTTGTTTTGCAACGGTAATAAAAATTTTTTTGGATTATTTTTTTTCACTTAGTTTTTATCATACAACATATGTTGAACAAATAATGAAAAAAACAAGAGTTAGTATGTAACTTCTGGAAATCGTGGTTTATGCTTTGACAATAGGATCTAGTTTATGAAGCTTTGCTTTTCAATATTTTTTCACTGAAAAGTCTATACAATATATTGACTAATACAGTTAACATTGGTAAAAGTTTTGAATTGCTACATTTTAACGTTTTGTTTTTTTCTTAAGTTATTTTCTGATGTAGATCAAAATAATTAAAACATATGCACTTATGAAATAGCAAAAAGCTTTTTCTTGGGGAAAATTGATTTTTGGCTTTGAACGTTTCTTAGATTTGTTCTGGAGTATATCTATTATATGTATAACATATGACATTTTCCTGCTGTCTTTTCTATCGTTCATGTTCTTTTCTCTTTTTCATGACTTCTCTTTATTATTCTTTCATCTATTTAACGTAAACTGTGTTTTTCAAGTTGAAATGAAAGCCTATAATATCATCTTTTTTTTTCTTTCAAGTACATTTAACTGCGCAGGTGGGAATAAACGAAATGACGATCTTCCTTCATTTTCCCCCTTGTGTAAATGCTAGCGATTCTTTTGAAATGAAGAGATGATTATTAACATTTAAAAAGCAAAAGAAAAACTCTATCGACCAATCGATAAGCTTGTAATGATTGCAAATAATACAGAATACATAACAACGGTTTACCTCATTCACTCCCTATGATGAGAAACAACTTGAAAGACTATTCTTCTTAATATCAAAAATACAAAACCAAAACGAACATAATTCGACTTGAGTTACAGAATAATTAAACTATGTTTATTTTTCATATGGAAGCATCAAAGAATATTGAACATAATTATATCTCATATGCGTAGAATATGCAAATATCATAAATAAACATGAATCTTTGGAGATTTAAATTTAATCTGCTTTCGCAATCAAAAAAAGAAAATTTTTACATTTATGACTTGATTTTCTTTCTTCAATGAGATCTTAATAATAAATTTCACCAATCATATCTTGACTAATTTTTTTTTTGTTAGAATAAAAGAAAAAAGAAGATTTGTTTAGATTTTTCGTACAGATCACACAGATGCAAATGGTTTCTATATCGTGTCAATCATAGTCACTCTTCATATATTTGTTTTATATTATTAATTAAAGTTTAAATACACTTGTTGATTGTCGAATACCATTGTAAACTAATATATTATCAATGGGTACATATTGATGTGTAATTAATTTAATTGCTTCTTGTGCACAACATCCACCAATAAAAGCTGATATAGAATGAAGCTCTGATGCCCCATATCGACATAATTCTTCAAGAATATTTTCTCTTATGGGACTTTGTTGTCTATCACAATTTAATAATTGTTTTCCAACTTGTTTTAAATCATTAAAATCTATTTCAAGTTGTCTTTGATCTGTGTTAATTTCGTTCGTTGATAAAGGAAATTCACCTGGATAACGATTAAATTTTTCATAAAATAAATCACATAAACGCAAACCAATATACCTAAAACAGAAATATAAGATTAACCATACTTCGATCAAAAAAAAAATATGCCAAAAAATAAAATGTAGATAAATTAAAACATCAAATAATAAAATATGTCGAACTGTCAAAACATCAAAAGATAAAAGTGTCATCTCACTGACATGTCGAAATTATATAAATCATTGTTGTGTTATCGATAAAGAGTTCAATGTATTTATGTCATTTATGATACTGATATCCATCAGGGTAAGTTGTGTATCTCATCACCGAAAACTGAGATCATTGAAATGAAAATCGCTGAATGCGTTCCAATTATTTATGCTCTTGAGTTTCATTTTGACAATCATTCTTTACATTAAGTCTTTCGGAATATTTATCATATAAATATACTATAGATATCATCTCAGAATATTGCTGAAAACAGATATTACTGGTAATCACATTGCCAAAATGTGAATCACTGAATTTCGGTGAAGAACATACTGTTTCACCCAATTACCTACGCTCTCATCATCGTTTCAATTATTGAGCGTTCTTGTTGCCATATTACGCTTCAATAAAATCAAACATTAGCACTTTCATGAGAATATATATGTTTCAACATTTCTATTTTCGACATCATTTGGAGGGAAATCAAAAACAAAAATTAATTTCAATAAACAAACTAAATAATAATTTACCAACAAATATCTGATTCGGATTCATCGGATGATGATTCTAATGGAATTTGTTCAATTTGTTTTTGTAATAAATCATCTTCATTTTTAATTGATGTTGTTCTCAGAACATTTAAAAATGGTGCATTTTTACAATAAATATGAACAAGTTCATGTAAACTTGCTTGTTCATTTGATGTCATTGTTGAAAATCGATTATGTTGTTTTAATAAATCAATTAAATAATTATGAATTATTTCACAATCTTTTTTAGCTTGTTCTTGATATATTTGAACTAATTTAACATATGAACTTGTATTTGTTAGCATATCAGGTACTTCACCACGAACAGGTAATAAACCATGACCTTCATTTTGTGTAAATAATTTAATTGCATTTATGATAAACCAAAACATATGAGACTGATTTGATAATTCTAAACAAGAACGATCATGAAACAAATTATCCATTATTGATGGTAGATTTGTATTAACAAGACGTGATGGAATTGTTCGTTTAGCTTCTTCAAAATTTTCTAAATGTTTATTTGAATCATGTATATCATATGCTGAATGATAAGATAATTGTTCAATTATTTGTTTACATTCATCTTTTTCTTGACGTGTACGAGGTAAATCTGTACGATTCGTTTGTTTTTGCCAACGTTGTAAAGCTTTATATTGAATAATAAGTGATGGTAAATGTAAATGTTCTTCACGTGTTAAATTATCAAAATCAATTGAATTACAATGATTAAGAAATGATTTCAATGGCTGATCAAGACGAAGATCAGCTATAGTATCATCAGGATGAGCTTCAGTAATATAATGCTCAACTGTTTGAAGACGAATAGTTCCAATAAACCTGTCAACAACAACAACAAAAATAAATGAAACATAAGAAAATGAATTTCTTTTTTTTTTTGATTACCCATAAGTACGAGCAACAAGTAAGGGTATTTTAAGTGTCCATAAATGATTAGCAAGGGTAACTAAAGTATTTAATGGAAGATTAGCCGTAATAACGACATTAAATTGACCAAAATCAAATGTATTTTGTTTAAGTAAATCATCAATTGATGGTTTATCAATAAATGTGCCATGTACATCAGGATTGAGCTGTTTTAATAATTCACAAGTAACACGAGCACGTGGTTGATCAATCATAGATGGATGGACAAAAAAATTTGATCCACAATCAGCTAGTGTTACTAATTGATGATCAATTATTATAAATGAACCAAGACCAGGTAAAACAAGAGCTTTAAGAGTTTCAGTACCTAACGCATTAGCACCAATTAAACATACACGTCCAGATTCCAAAGCTTTTTGTCCATGATCGCCCCAAAGACGAAGTTGACGATCATATTGAATTTGTTTTGTATCTGGTCCGGATACTTTACTCATGTTATCTAAAATAATGAAAGCGTTGTTTAACAAAACCTTTTTTTGATGTACATTGAAAAATTTAAGTTCTATGTTGGGAAAAAAACCTGTCATAAAAAGATCATCAATGAGTTTTTTTAAGTTTCGTTTGTTTGTCTGTAACTGATTGATATTTCAGTTTTTGATGGAGTCAATTATAGGTATTGATCAAGAGAAGGAAAATGCTAATATCTTCTCACTTTTCATGTTATGTTTGCGAAAATTTTGGATGACTACCGAAAACTGTCTGACTAATTCTAGCAGACATTTTTGCATGCAATGCAGAATTTTCGTCTTTCTCACTTATAGAATTAATATATCGTTGAACACTTTCGTCTTATGAGAGAACTAGATGAAATAATATTCGCCGTTGCAGCTCATATTAGATGTACAAGGAAGTCTCGGTAAGGCTAGAAAATTTCTAAAAGAATTATTGCGCAAAGGTCACTGAACTCGAGTTATGACTGTTTCACTGAATTTTTGATTCAGCTTTTGATATTCATCCAAAAATTCAAATAACGAAATTTCGATATGAAATTTTGCCTATAGATAGATTTAATAACTTCAGTAATATGCTGAAAGCTTTCGCCGAAAAGAATGTTCTTTTGCCGAGATATATTAGATTTTCAAGTACACTCAACTTTTGTGGCAAACAGCCGTTTTTTGAAAATTTATTGTGTCGACAAAGAACTATTCATTTTGATTGAAACGTTCGGCTTACTCCTATTTATGAGTAAAAGCTTAAGTCTAAGTTTTGTTACTTATTCTTTTGACAATATTACCTAACGTTGGATAGAAAATTCAGTAAGACAGCTATAACTCGGCTCCAAAGAATCATGAGCATGAGCCCTTTCAGGATTTTTCTAGTTTGACCAGGATCCCTCTCTGAGTCCAATATGAACTTATACGGCGAGTATTTCTTCGTACAGTTCTCTCGTTAGTAGAGAAGGAAAAATAAGCGAATCATGCTTTTTATCAGATAATATATATAAATTTATTTCAGATCAAACTTTTTTTGTCTTGAAAGGAGAAAAACGACCTAGCGTATGTAATATAATAAAGTTGAACTGATTTCTCATTTCTGAATACAACATTAATTAATTCAATTTCAAAACAATTCTACATACTATAATACAGTTATTTCTGTTGTATTTTTTAATTTAACAATTAATCAGTACCATTCGATCAAGTTTCTTTATTGACAATTATTCTGTGAATATCTAGAGCAAAATAAAACTGTAGATTATTAAAATAATAATATTTCATTAATTTTCTTATATAATATATATATAAAACTATATAAAATATTAATATTTCATGAATTTAAACAACTATATAAATACAAATAAAATCATTTTTAATCACTATCTTCATCATCATAAGTAATACCGGTTGCTGCTTTACGTCGTTTAGTAGTCGGATTAATTAAACTCATTTTTGTACGTTCTTGTGATTTCGTTATATTACTTTTTTGATCATTCGGATCAAGTAATTTATTACCATCAAACATTCGATTGGTAGCACTTGAACGTGATTGTTCACGCTCTGTTTTAGTTGATAATTCTTTTATACATGATTGTTGTGTTTTAACTTCAGCTGATAATTGTTCATTACGTTTATAAACATGTAAAAGAATTTTACTTAAAAATGAAGCTTTCTCTCCATCGTTAATATTTTCATAAAGTTGAAGAGTGATAGATTGTTTATTTTTTGGATGTGTGAATGTTACATTAATTTGTGAAACTTCCTGTTTACCATCAGTATTTGTTGTTGGAGCTTTAGCAAGAGTAAAGTTCGATTCATTTATACGTTCAGAAAGAAATATCATTGTTTCACCGAGTTCTGTTATATCTAAAAGACGTGCATTTAATTGAAACGCACGTTCATCTAATGGTGTTGACCATATTGTAACAGATTCTAATTTATCCAAACATGCAATTAACTAAAGAAAAGTTTCTTTTTTTTGGAAAGAAAATTTCTTTTTTTTTGTAGTTTTTACTTGTAACGTTTTTGTTTTCGCATCAATCAATGAAGCAAATATAATATCATCACTATGTGAACCAACTTTAAATGGTTTTTTTGTAACAATACAATCAAGATTTGATTTATGAAGAAGTTCAACAAACGCTGAAGACATTATAATATATATAAATATATGCTTATCTAGAGTAAAATAATGTTTTTTATGAAAAAACTGTCAATAACAAAAAAATTTAATTTTTTTATTCTGTCAATTCTGGAAGTGTTTCTCGAAGTTCATCGATGGATAGAGAATCTACTCGAAAAACTTCAGCAAATGGTTGAATATTACCAGTTGGATTATGTGCTTTCTTAGCATTGTGATCATCAATAATAGCAAAAACTATATATTTAAATGAGTTTTTATATTTTGTTGTGATCACTTCATGAAAAAGCTGTGCTATAATAGAAAGGACAATGTTAATTAGTACAATATGTAACTATTATAGAATCTTACCAATATGCTTGGGAGGATTTTGATAAGCACCACTAAATAAAAAATGAATTTTTTCTTGATATAGGTATTATTATAAGTGTATGAAATGTCAATCAGAATGAATTATTTCAAAACGGTTATTAAAAACAACTATAAGTTTCCTGATTGATAAATAAATTAATTCGAAACAGTCCTATATGAAAAACGACTTGTTCTATAAGAAAATTCATCTGGATTACAGAATTCTTCTTGGTGTCAAGTGCTACTATATCACGAGTACAGCTGATTCTTCATTGTTTTCCCATTAGTAGTGTCACAATCAACTATACATTTTTAAGACCCTAGTTTATCAAACATATGATCCTCAATATCTAAGTATTCTGATACAAGTATTATAATAATAATTTCTGATAAATAATGTATACTGAATTTAAAACAGTCCAAAATATAAATAGACCTGTACTCGATTACCACGTCGCTGATCATATTCAGACTTGGAGTAGAAACTGGACAGACTGAGTCGTCGGTTACTGATCTGAATCAGAAATGTTGACGGGTTGACCAGTTTTGGGGTATGCATCTTTTCTTAGGCTTACCGAACCATAAACTGATATTTCACACCGACACCCCTCAATTCAGCCATCAAAATTTCTGGTTCGAATGAATTTTGCAAATCTGCTGCTGTTTACCGGTTCTTTTTTTTAGTTGCTTTTGAGAGCACTAAAGCTAGTATATTCTTGCTCATTTTTATTGATTTTCATGATTTCAATACTCGAAAACAAAGTGAATTCGAAACTTCGAGTCGATACATTACTAGCTGACATTGAAAATTCAGTTCTCAGTTTTGACTTAACGCTTCCCACTATATAGTTAGTAGTTTCCAAGCATACTGAATGCAATAATGATTGTCAAGAAAAGTTATCTACCAATCTAAAACCTAAACTTGGTATAAACTAGGCATTTTCCATCTCAAAACTTTAAGATCATTTCTAGATTACTTGCTACTAACGGTCAGAAACTCTTAATAGTCAGCAGGTCTCAGGTTATATTCGAATTGTATAAGAAACAAAACAGATATCGTTGTAAGATGAAAGTTTTGTCGTCTGTAAATCTCACACACCTTTAAAGAAATTTAGATTTCAATAAAAAAAACTTAAAATATGAGGTTTATGGCAAAATTTTTTTTTTTCTATTGGTGATATTAGCTGACGAACGGATAAACTCGTCAAGGATACGACTTTTTTTTCGACTTGCTAAATGACCTTAAAAATAAGAATTCTACTTAATCTCTTTATGGATATGCATTAATAAATTCTTCCTTAAAGGAAATAGTTGCTTAATTGATGTAAAAATTCGGGCTGCTTATCATCTGTTTTTTGTTCGTTGAGTTAAAAATTTCGACAAATCACTTTTATCCAATTAGAGGAAAATTCAATCAATTTCAAGTCTCGCTCATAGATGTTCCATATTTTTAATATGAAACTGTTTTTTTTTTTATTACTCATTGAATACTCACCATCCTAATGCTGATAGTATCAGAATGTCATGTTTATTTTCAAGTGCAATTTTGAAAATACTTTCCATTTTGTTTTTTGTGTTTTGTATCACATGTTTACCACTTAATTTTAATTCTCCATTATTATCTGTTTCTGTTGGTGGATGAGAATAAGCAGCACAAGCAATAAACGAAATATATTCTGGACCATTCGGAAAAAATGGATAACCGTTAGATTCTGAACCACGAAAAACACTTACATCAGGCATATAAATACCACCGAACTTTAAAAGATAACAAATTGTTTTTTTTTGACGTGAATTTAAAAACGTTTAAATTTACTTCAGGTACATAAAAATTCCAATCTCTTTGACCTTCTAATTCATGATAAGGATCTTCAAGACATTGAAACATATTTGTACGACGATGAAGATTTTCTTCTTGTGCACCAGCACCTAAAATATGAAAATATAATTCAATAATATCACATATTTATTCAGATAAACGTACCATTCTTCCAACCACCACCAGGATTTCTAGCTGAAGCCATATTTAATACAACTGGATTCGATTTGGGATATTTAGCTTTAAAACATATGGCAACATCAAGACAATCACCATTAATAACAACCATTCGACATGGTTGTTCGTAAGTATGTTGTTGACGAACTGTAGTATATTCATAATCATTACCATACTGTCGAGTATTTTGAGCAGCATATGCCATTTTATTCTTGTTTAAATTTATTTTCGTCCCATCCGTAAGTCGATAGAATCTAAGTAAATTAAAAAAATACGACTATTAAAAACAAGAGAGATTAAATTTTTTTGATTGTACCCATTGCATACAGCATTGATTGTTTGTATTTGTATAACTTTACGCATCAAACGTCGTGTGTTTGGATGAATTGTTGTCGAATTCCATACAGTGGCAAAGCGTTCATCACTATGTAAATGGTTAAGAGCAATGTCACGTGCATTATCATCATTTGTCAAACGTTCGAGTTGTTTGGGTGATAAAACAGTATTTGTTGGATCTTTAAGTGATGATGGAATTTGTATACCGAATGGTGCACTAAGTGAATGTTTTTTTCTACGTTGTTTTCGGTCACTATAATAATTAGCACTTGCCATAATAAAAAACAAAAGTAAATAGATAAATAAGGATTTTTCAAAAGTTATGGATAACTTTAAAATGTGTGTTCTTTCATAATATAAATGATAATTGTGAAATTCTTTTATCTGAGTATGAAATTAGACTGGAAAACACTAAATATTATTATGTTAAATATTGATAGGTAATCAGTATTTCACAATTATCTATTTATTACATTTCATGAAAACATCATAACCAAACTTTTTTCCTTCATTTATTTATTCATTCGTTGATTGTCAAGAATGAATCATCTTTAAAAATTTGTTTTCGATTTCAGACAATCTGCTGCAATTACATACAAGGATAGAGGGCGCACATCATTTTTAGGATTATTTTATTAATTTTATTTAAAAAAAAAAAACATTTCTTTATTTTTAGTAAAATAGATTACATCATTATATATTGATCAAGGCTTTTGTTAAGATAGATTTAGATAGAAGAACAATTCTACAAAATATCATTTTAGTATTTCTACAGAATACCCACCTACACACTTTCACTCGCATGCAACGTTTGTACATTGTGAGATTAAGTCAATTAGTATATGATCGAACTAATTACTGAATAACGTATGTGCATCCTATACAAGAACTAAGATTTCTTAGCTTCATTCGTAATCATAATAAAAATAGAGAGATTCTATTTCATTTCTGATCAGCAGCTTCTGAGAAACTTCAATCGTATCGATTCATATTCGAAAGAAAAAAAACAATCATAATAACAATAGCACTACATATTTAACGAATTTCAAAATGAAACGGTTTAAATTCTACTGCGATGGATATGGCTTAGTATATCTTATCATCAATCAAGATTTTTGTTTGGTTTAATCTTTATAATAGAAGCATTTTTACTTCTAAGCTTGTCCAATATCAACTAATGAAAGAAAACCAACAGTTAATGAAAAAATTCCTCAAGCAAAAACCGAAAACTCGAAACTACAGCTTGTTCATGTAATAGATTACAAGTCTGATTCACATTTTATTTGAAAGATTGTACCACCATTTGTAAGAGAACATCATTTGCATAGGTTTCATGTTATCTTTGCATTCAATAAATAAAAACGACAACAGTCATAAAGACATTGGTAATTTTCAATACTGTTACGATTGATACATGAAACTAATTGTAAATTTTTGTAAATAAATGATAAAAAAACAGGATCCTAAATCCTACAATACAACTCTGTGATGAGTTAAATGATATAAATAGATTATAGTCAAAGTAAAACTATAGAAAAATGCTGCAATTGATAACAAGAAAAGTTTGGACAAAAAACATTTCTGTTAAAGAAAAATTATGCTTATGAACTCCAATATGAAGATAACATTTATGTAGAAATGTTTGCTAATTTTATGGTACAAAACTTTTAGAAATGCATTAACATCGTATAGAATGTCTTTTTTTTTTAATTAAGAAAGAAATTCATTAGTTATTAACAAGTTGTCTATATTTTTGAGTAACTTATGATTATAATTAATCAAAACATTTTATTTCTTTGAAGTTTAATAAAAAAATGTTTGTATATTAAGTAATTGATTTTTATGTCATTGAATTTATTGAGTTATCATAGTTCAGATAAACTTCGATTATATCTGTTTTATTTTAGTCCTTTGGAGATGGAATTTTATTTGTAATCAAGATGTAGTTTTTCAATCAAATGATGAGACCTGGCTTAAAATGATCATATGAAAACCGTATGATAAACAAAATTTTTTCCTCATCTTTAAAATAGAATGCTAATTCGCAAGTATAACATTCGATGTTAGATCTAATTTGTATTTCTTTTGTGAGAGAGTAGGCAGATCCTCTTCGTGTTTCTTTTACAGGCAAATGCTTTGCATTACTAACATGAAGAATCGATTGTAGTGATGCTAGTTTAGGCTTCTTCTCAGAAAACTGTCTTGCAAGATTTATTCGATCAGTGTGCCAGAGTAGTGTGACGTCGCCACTGAGATCATGTAATTTAAGTATAATAATTCATCTTGAGTTAACTGATTATAATAAATAAAACGAATTGGAAAAAGATGCATTTGAGAAAATTAATAAAAAAAAGCGAAGCCAGCTTCTTGAAGATTTTTTTATCAAGAATATAGTAGCATATTCTTTGATTGAATCGATTAGCTCAATTTTTGAACTGATTATAATCGTTTATTGCTTTTGAACAATTAATGGAGATAAGTTGACCGTTTTTCAGATAAATCATGATTTCACTGTAAAGTAACAGTTCTAACATTTTTATGTAAAGAAAACAATTTTTTTCTGTATTGAAAAAAAAAAGGTTGTCCAGCGTACGTACCACCGTCTCCAAAGGATTAAGCATTGCTTCTCTAATATATTCGTTTTTATTCAATTTGTTCCTTAAATCTGTCACTTGAATTCTCAGTCTCCATTTCTTTAGGTTCAAAGATAATTAATAATTGTTATTGATCTAGAAAAAAACCCAAGTTATTAACTGTTTCTTATTTTGTCTCAGAAAAAATGAATAGATTTTTTGTTTAATCATACATAATTCCGATTTTCTGTCTCTTTTTTTGTTAAGAAAACAATGAAGATAGAAAGATAGTAATATCTCACCAGTCAAAACAAGAATAAGAATTTTATATGAGATAAGTATGATTTTTGTGATTGAATAAGAAGATGAACTAGATTTAATATTTTATTAATCCTATATGAATAAGATTACTAATGATATAGAATTATGTTTATCAGAAGTCTGCTCAGATAGAAGATAGTGATTAAGGATGCACACAAAATCCAATACAAATTAGATAAATACAATAAATAATAATTACTTTTTCTTATTCAAATGTATTTAATCATGTTCAATAAGTTGTTTTATTTGTATTTCAACGTAGTGATATATTTTAAAATTTAATTAATGAAAATAATTTATCAAACATGGTTATTAGAAAGTTAGTTTCGAAAATAGATGACATGGTTTTTCTTTTCAAATGAAACTTATAGTGCATCGAACACATTTTATGAATAGTATAAGACAATTCGGATAGGTCTTTTCGTTAGACAAAATGAATGTCATAAATAGTAAAATTTATCTTTTTTAATCAATTCTAATGTAAATATAAACATTAATGCCGAATGATATTTAATTTTTTTTAATATTTTATTGTGAATACGTAAGTTTGATATGAATGTTTATTTTTGAAAAAAAAAAGAAATATGATTATACTTAAACCTTTTTTTTAATATTTGCATCCTCGAAATGTTTACTTTTGTTTTCGGATAGATTTTCTTTTTTTTGTTGTAATAAAATATATACATATTTTTTATCTAGAAAATATAATTGTTTATGAAATAGTTTCGAATTATTTTTTTCTAATTAATGCATACTATTCCGCTGAGTTTTATTGTTTGCCCTGTAAATCAAAAAAATAATTTTTTAAATCTATATCGATAAAAACAATATCTTTCTTTTCTTTTCACTTATAGAATTATTTGATAGAATATGCTAAAATTTTAATGAACATTCCCTAGTTGTTTTCGACGTTATCTCTCTATATCCGTTATTTATCACTTCTCTAATATTATACGTTGTTAGTCTTCAGGGTACTTTCATACATTTTTTGCGACCTATAAAACGCAAGCACAGGATATCACAATCAATATGTACGTCATGCTATAGTATAGTTTAATTGCTAATAAACATGAACAAAAGAATAAAGTAGTATGCTTACGACAGTTGAAAATTGATGTAAGTACCAAGAAAAAGAATGTCTTGTCCTTATATTAGTTTAGTCCTCATTTTTCTTTTTGACTTGATGAGTCAAATTCTAAACAGAGGCAGCAAAAGAATCAGTTTACTCTATACAATTTATTTAGTGGACATTGTGTAAAAAAACCTATCATTTACAAAAAAGAAATCAATAAACAATTGTATCACATATGCAAAGAAATCTGCATCTACGATCTTTCTGATTTGAATGAATAGCTTGAAAAATAGTAGACAGAGAGAAAAGAGAAAAAGAAAAGATAAACAGAAAATATTTTATTTCATTATATCCTTCAGACACACACATATTTCTTGCTAGTCATCATCATGTCATCATCAACAGGTATAAACTTTTCTTTTTTGCTTTATTCTTCTTATTTGATTTTTTACTGATTTGTCAAGATATTACTCAACATGTGTCCAGTATTGTAAAGTTAAATCGGCTTTTAATCTTGACAGCTGCTATTATTGGTATATTATTATATTATTTATAAATTTTAATGATTTCTCTTTTATTTTGAATTAGCTTGCTGTTCGTGTATTAATTCAAAAACAACCGATCACGATCAATTACAACAACATCAAATTATTAATAATATTTATCCAACTGTCTTATCTCGATATGATTCCGATTTAGTTGAACGAGCAGCACCGCGTTTTGGCCGTGCTTCAGCTCGACTTGGTCGGGCATCATCACGTCTTGATCGACATGTTGTTGATTTGATATTTTCACGATTAAATCATGTTGGTCAATATTATAATGCAGATGACGATACAACAAACGAATATCCCTACGATATTGAATCTTCGATACAAGAGAGACGAGCAGCACCACGATTTGGACGTGCCATTAAACTTGATCAACATCAGTAATATGCTTAAATAAGCATTAGCCTATTATTTTGAAGTATTATTGATGTAATGAGATATATATACATAGAGAAAAATGGAACAAATCTTTAGAAAATCTATGAAAAGAAGTCGTAAGCATGTGTCACATTTTATTATTAATATTGTTGAGTATTGTTTGAAATTTATTACTAAGTGAATATAAGAACAAACAATAGAAATTCAATGAAAACAAATCGTATTATTCTATATTCAATAAACAATCATTTAAGAGTAAAACAAAAAAAGATGATTAAAAATTGAAATATAAATAAATAATAAAAGAAAACAATTCTTGATAATTTTCAAACACAATTCTAGTGTTAATGACAATAATTCAGAGAATAAAGAATGTGTCCTATTAATGTCTTTTAATCAATAATCATGTTCACTTTTCGATTAATCAAATACAGATAAAGATAACGTTCAGGATGTCGATCAAGAGTCAAACATTTTCGAAATGAATAAGTTCAATTCATGATATACACTTTTAACGCATCAATCGGATCATACTAACAAAATCATTATCTACTCTCAAATCATAACGATTACATGGTAAAATCCATGTAGTTTTTATATCATATGATGAATTTCAATCAAATGCTGATGGAATTCGAAGAAATTCTATATTAGCTCTTGAGAGTACCATTATATCATGTTTAATATTACATTTCTATTCATAATCACGAACAAGAGGAAAACAATTATTTGAATCAAATCATTGCTGATAATAATTTAGAATTTTATGCTCAGGTAGATCAACATCAGCATGTATTGTATAATTTAGTAGAAAATGAGAATCAAGTGTTGCAATGTTTTCATATAAAACTTTTGCTATGAATTTTGATTAAAGTAATCCTATACTAAAATAAGTATGTAATGACATAGGTGGTAATCAATCGTTAAATGGTTTATTGGATGATGAATACATCCATTTCACCTTTAACGTGTATTCGAAAAGTATGAGCTGTTAGTTTCTATGCTTCTTTAATACATTTAACAGGAGCAATCATATAAACAGCAGTTCGACGACGACGAGATGTTCGAGATGAAGTCTATACATTAAATAATTAAAATAAAAATTACATTAAAATTGAAGAAAATATGTTATTGATGGGAATATGTTACTCTAAATCGAAGGAAATATATAGTTAATCTCTTGCAAATCATAAATCAAATCTTTTATCAATTGCAATGCCTTTGTATTACAAAAATTATGTTTAATCATATCATGTGTAAGTTGTACAATGCGTTTTGCTAATGTTATTTTTATCCATTTTCATGTACTCAAAAACCAAATAAATTTTTCCATTTTTTCAAGTTCTTTTGCTTTCTGCTCATTATTTATTGCCATTGTAATATTTGTTTCATGTGCAGTAGAAGTAAAAATAACATGTCCATCAATATCCCATAATAATTGTTGTACCCACTAACTTCGTCAAACATTTGATCTAGATATGGGTAAAATAAAAATCCCATATGCATCATAAATTAAGAAAATATTTTGATTTGAAAATAGCTTAAAGATAACTGTTCAACAGTAACAGGTAGATATTACTTCACGAGCACAGTTTAGAATTTGTTGTAGAATAAGTGAGCGAATAATTTTTTGATATTAATCAATTATTCTTATTGAACAGTAACCATCTGCTGTAATATTTTTGAGTTCACCTTTATGTACACACCAGGTGCAAAATAAGTAAAATTAGCAGTAAATGTTGGAAGAATATTAATAACTGAAGATCATTGGCGGCAAAAAGAGATATGTTGAATATGTGGAGGGTGTGATTGTAGGTCATCTCCTTACGCACACGTACACTCTTACTCACGTTCTTATCAATATGATAAATCTTATATACGATAGTGTAAAAATCATTTGAAATCAAGCTCTAAAAATGGAGTAATATATCGATCAAACTTCAAACATTTATTCATAAGTAACTACTGCATCGATAGAATTTGTGAAGATCTATCTTGTTTCGTTGTCAATCTAACAGGAGTCAGCTTCTAGATGAATCACAACAAGTTCTTTGAAAATTTAGTAGTTATTCATATGCTATTTTTTTGAGTGATTAGATTTTGTCTTTGTGATGAATCGATCATTTCTGACAAGTGACGAGTGGAATCCATAGAGCGTGTTGAATTTTAGATTGATCTATTGTTAGTTTACATTGAGTCAGTTTTGACACGAAAACATTTAAGAAATACTTGAGTCTTTATCTAAGATATGCTACGTGCTTATGTCAATGGCAAATCATGTTTGTTGAAGGTTTGCAACTATTTATACATCTATCATTGTTACATCTTGTTCTATTCAATTTATGAATTAGGATTGTAGAGAAACTATAAGTATGAGAAAACCAGTGAATAAGAATAAAATTAAGTTTTATGCAATTCACAAGCATTCAAATATGCTTCAAGATCATCTTATTTTAGTGATGATATAATTCTTCCTAAAATGCAAATGTCAATAAGTATCAATGATACTAAAAAGTGGAACTGCTGATGAATTTACCAAGAAAAATGACGAGTCTACTTAACAAGTTGAATCATTCAAACAAATCAGCAAGTGATAATATTACAAGTGTTTAAAGTCGTATTGCATAGATCAATCTGAAATATAAGTTTTCTCGACGTGATAATTTTAATTCAGAGAATTACTCCTATATCAAACTGGTTTATCAGAAGAATATCATTGAGAAGAAAAAAATTGTAGTTATTTATATTATAGAAAAATCATTTAGCCACGAAAGATAATTTGATTGAAGAAAAAAATGGTTTCATAAAATTCCTAACTGATTTGATACTATGAGAGCAAACAGAAAAGTTCTGGAAAAGTTTGCAATTTTTTTCTTTTTTGTCTATGTAATTTTTCCCATAGTAAATAATCAATATCTCATATCATATTCATCTTTGATTATTCATTAATCAAAGTCAATATTATGTATTTATAACTTTAAGTGACATATTCACTTGAATATTCTGTTCTTCGTTTCAATATAATATTGGTTTTGTTCTAGCTCATTGATAATTTTCAAATTACAAAAAACAAAAATACAGAAAGAAAGACATATTAGCAAGAAAAAAAACACAAAAACAACGGTATTGATAATCAAGAGAAAAATACATTGATATCATATATATATATATTTAAAAACAGTATTAGTAATTTGCTTCTTCTATCATATCTCTTTAGATTATCACATCAGACAAACATTAACTGGTTACACATTGAAATACACTCAATATCACGAATAATGAACAAAAATGCTATGAAAAAACAACAACAACATATCACCCGTGAGATTTGATGAGTATGTGTTTGTTAAACCAACAATTATTTCAATATACATGTACACATATAGTTATATAGAATTATTTATACTAAAAAAACACAAACACAAAACAACAATGACCTGAGAAAAACAGAAAGAAACAGAAACGGATGAATTTGACTAGGTATCAATATCAATCGAAATGTCATTGAGTTCTTTTTCAATGCCAATCGATTGTAAAGCAAGAATTAAATAATCACTTAAATAGGCATATTCATTTGATTTTTGCTTACGGGCTAATCGAAAACAAAGACGTATTAGATATATACAATAATCATACATAGAATTATCAAAATCTATGGATGATATTGATATTTGATATTTGATATGTTCGATATAGCGTTCAATCATTAATGGATTATTCAATGATTGAAAGACAACTTTATATTGTTCAAAATTACATGACAAATTTAAAGGATTTTCATTGGAAATCTCTTCATTTTCTAATAAAATAAAAGTTATCAATAATTGATGCCAACAAATTTCACGAATAAGTGGTTTCTTATCTGCAGGAGTTGAATCTTCAAAAAAGAAGAAAAAAAAAATCAAGAATTTTGTTTATCTTTATTCTAAATAATAAAAAACTTACGTTCACCAAAAACATTTTGTTTTCTTATCCAATTATTCATTATTTCAATAAATAAAATCTTTGATAAACACATTGAATTTGTTTGTTGATCATTTTCAATGTCTCGTTTAAATAACTTTAAATTATTTGTAATAGTTGACTTTATTGAACGTAAAAAAAGATGACCTTTATCTGAATAAGCAGGCCAAAAAATTTTTAATTTTAATTCTTTATTTTCAATTAATTTTTTTGCTACATTACGTATTGCACGTCCAATAACAATATGTTTTGATATATAATTATTACTATTGGAAATTTGATGTCGCTTTTTTAACTCACTTAATAATGTTCCAAATAACCATGGAAAACTAAGAATACGAGAACGAGCTTTTGTTGATTGTTTAGCAGCTTGAGAATAACAAACATAATAACAAGCAGCTGCTCGTGCTAATTTAATTTCTTCACATTCAGTACATGATGAATTACGTGTGCATGAATTATCATGTGGTGGTTTTAAATTTGAATCTATAGATAATTGATCAAAAATATGATAAAAATGACGACGTGTTGTACCAATTAATCGTTGTAATTCAAGACCAGCTGATATATTAAGATCTTGTTTTCCTGATGCTAGTTGATCAAGTGCTTCACAACGACAAAATAAATCAATTTCATCTTGATAATTAAAAACACTAATAATATTACGTAAATTTTCACGATACATTGAAAATAATTTTTTTGCCCAGGGTGTTTGAGATTTAGAAAATGGATGATTTAAATCAGGATCAAGAGTTAATGATGGTTCTTGATGATTTCCTGTATTATCATATGATTGCCATGGCCATGGCTTACGAGAACTATTTGAAAGATTAGTTTGTGGTGTCTCAAGAGTATCATCATCAACTAGTTCATCTTCAATTTGTGCTGCTTTTAAATGACGTAAACTACAATGAGTTCGAGCAGCTTTATGCCATCGAATAATTGCACGGCGTGCTGATCGATATAATTGTCCTAAAAGAAAAGAAATATATATATATAAATCAATGTTAATATAAAATTAAAATTTTTCTTCATATACCAATAATTTTTTCAGATAGATATGATTTATAACGTTCTTTCATCATAAAATCTGGATAACGTTCTTTAAGTAACTCAATTCGATAACGATTTAATTCTTCATTTGTTATTGGATGTTTACCAGTTTTAGGTGCATCAAGTTCTTGTGAAATAAGACCTGCTAAACGTACAACTTCTGGATGACGTGTACTGAATAAATCAGCTAATGCTAAATGTAAATTTGACATGTCACCAGTTAAATTTTGTGCAGCTATATCAAGAACAATTTCATTAATATCATTTCGTTCAACAGGACGATCAAGTTTAATTGGTTTTTCTTGTGAATCATAATCATATGGTTCATCATTAGTTGTTAATGGTACTAAATCTGGATCCCATATGACAGCATATTCATCACCTAAGAAAATTAAATAACAATAATAATAATAATAATAATAATGATTAAACATTAGTTGTTTTCTTTTTTTATTTAATTCTTATTCTATTTACCATCAAGATCACTTCCTGATATTTCATTTGGATGTGGTCGACGACCTTTTTGTGGAAAAACAACAACATCAACAAGATGTCTTAATTCGACTCTATCAACAGCTGTAAATGTTCTTAAATCTCCTGGATGATGACAAGGATTTTTAGTTATGACAACTTTAATATTGTCTAATATTGTCGGTGGTACACTAGGTGGTTTATCAATCATATCTAATTTTTCATCATTTATATGATTATATTGTATAAATACTTGTCCATATTCCAGTACACCATATTCATCAACTATACCAAACATATTTCTTGCTTTATTTTTGGCTGTTTTTATTTTAGCACGTTGTTGAAATTTTGATACGCAATCATGACCACATGTTATAATAAGTTGTAAAAAAAATGGTTCTTCAACAAGATTTATTCCTTTAGCTATATCACGAAAATTAAAACATGCTGAACCAACACGATCATTTAATAATTCAAATGCAATTGATGAGCATAGTAAAGCTTGTACAAGCCATAGATGATTTTCATTTTGTAAAACAAGAAAATGTGATTCAGGTATACCACGACTAGATAGAAGAAGAATATCTTGACGATTAAGATAAAGTGCACCTTAATTTAGAAAAAAAGAAACAAATTTTTTTTTCTGTGCAATTAGAATTCATTTCAAATCGTAACATACGTGGTGAAGAAACTTTACAAATTTCTAATTGATCATGATCACTTGTAAATTTAAGCATAGATTCACGAATAACAAGTTGTTGAGGTTGATCATCAAGCCGTGGATCAACTGAAACAGTTCCTAGAAAAATAAAAACATTTTATTTAAGAAAAAAACGATCAATAAGAAGTTGATGAGGGAAAACAGAAGACTTCAACGTAGAAAGAGTGTCCCATGAGTTCTAGCTCTCAACGAAAACTAGTTTATATGTGAACAAATAGTCATTCCTATCCGATTATATCGATATGAGCTTCGAGTACTTAAGACAACGTTTCAAGCGACATTATCTTTTTTAATAATAGTGATGTCAACAGAGGAAGCATCATAGTTAGGGTATGGGTACAGACGATAGTCGTCATACCTAAACTATAGATACTACTCATCGTTTTGTATCATTGTATTACATTACATCTAATGAATTTGTACATGATTAAAATTGCTTCAAAAATACTGATCGATTTCGACATTTTAATTATAACGTTTCTTTTTTATATAGAGATGCTTAAGTAAAGATTATTTTTTGTTTATATAAAAACCATTGTCCTATCAACCAACAGTAGAACTTGAATTTTGGTTATTTTTTCAAAACTTTTATAAATTTTATTTTTCATTTTCCATTTAATAGGTATTGTATCTATATATGATTGATATGTGGTTGTGTAGTACAACTCATCTACAGTTTATACTATTAATATCGTTTCATTAATAATGAACAGAAAAGAATAAATAAAAATTGTTTAGTTTTGAAGATGTGGGTATTAACTTGATTTTTACATGTTTTCTTTCCATTGCGAAATGAATGATTGCATGACTAACAGAGAGGACACCATGTACACCTATATTGGAGTATGAAATCAAATAACTCTCTTCTTTTGTCATAAAAGAGTGAAGAACATGATAAACGTCCTATGATGGGAAAAAAATTATATTTCTACCTTTCTTTTCATCATAGGGAGATTCTTGTGTGCTGCACTCTCTTATGACAAAAGAAGAGAGTTATTTGATTTCATACTCCAATATGGGTGTATATGGTGTCCTATCTGTTAGTCATGCAATCATTCATTTCGCAATGGAGAGTAAACATGTAAAAATCAAGTTAATATCCACATCTTCAAAACTAAACAATTTTTATTTATTCTTTTCTGTTCATTATTAATGAAATGATATTAATAGTATAAACTGTAGATGAGTTGTATTACACAACGCATATTAATCATATATAGATACAATACCTATTAAATGGAAAATGAAAAATAAAATTTATAAAAGTTTTGAAAAAATAATCAAAAATTCAAGTTCTACTTTTGGTTGATAGAACTATAGTTTTCGCTGGAGTTCAGAATTTATTGAACATCCCCTTTATTAAAAGTAATAACTCAAAGACTTCGTAAGATTTCAGAAAACTTTCCGACTGAATTTTCCTCTGTTTCCTATCTTGAAACTTCATCTAACCTTTGCAACCACCATATCGAATCTGTAATACACTTGGCATAAAACGTCTTCCTAATGCTTTTTGCACCTAAATATTTATCAAATATGATTCAAATAGAATTTGAAAATTTTAGATAAACCTGTTTGCAATATTTCTGTGATAAGGTACCAACACCATCAGTAAAACAATATTGTTTATCTGTTGTTTCAACGTCTGAAATATATTTGACATGTTCAGCAGGAATCTATAAATAGAAAAATTTTATTAGAAATTCGATTTATTTTATATATTTATACTCTAATAGATGGTTCAGTTGATGTGAAACATTGAGCAATTCGAGCAGCATGTTTTGCAACAACACGTTCATTATCGAAATTTCCCATCCATGACAAAACATTTTCTAATGAATAATGATTATCAAGAAACCAAAATTGTTTTTCTTTAACTTGTGACATTGAATGATGTAAATATCGATAATGAATTTTATTTATTTGAATACCTTCTGTAAGTATTTGTTTAAATTTTAATCTTAATGAACGAAAATCACGTGCATATAAAGGTTTATTAGCTTCATCACGTATTTCAACAAGTGCAAAACTCATTGGATCATTAAAATTTTTTTCTCGTAAAACACGATGAAGTTTAACAAGTTTTAAAGGTTGAACTTGAATAGTTGTTGGTGTTACACGTATTGATGGAACATAAGCAAAACTAAACAAAAAGAAAAAAAACTATTGAATCAGTACTTTTTTTTTCCTCGAATTGAAACAAAAGATTGACACTCATGCCGAAAATCAAGTTTACCATTAAGTATTTTAGTATAGATTAAGTCTAAAATTTTTTAATGAACAAATAAAAACAATAGTATTTTATATTATTTCTACATTTATTACACATGAGATATAAAAAGGAAAATATACTTTTCTCTTGGCGGTGATAAAATCGTTGCCATTTTTTCATTCAATGAATTACATTGTTCCAATTGATTTTCATATTCTCTATTAGCTTCGTTTAATTCATTTTCAAGCTTAAATATTCAATAAAATAAAATAAAATAAAATTGTTTTGTTTTATATTGACTTACTTTTAAAAAATGATACTCAGTTGATCGTCGAAATAAATAAAGGCATAAACGATAAAATTTATCGTCATCATTATTTGATAATTCAAGTAATAATTCACGAATTTGCTTTCGTTCAGATATTTTTTGTTCAATTGAATAACCAACATTTTTTAACATTGTAAATGCATATATTTGTATTGGAGTTTTAAATATTTTTAATAATGCTGGAATATTTGTTAAACAACCTCGACAAGGTTTAATTGATGCAAAACAAACAACGATTTGATTTGAATAAAAAAAATCTAATAAATGTTTAAATAAAAGTTTTACTTGTTCAAGTGCAGAATATTTATCATGATCATTGAAACTTAGATTAGAACGATTCGTTTTAACTAATGTATGTAAACATATTGCAGAAAATATTGGACAATCTCTATTATTTGATGATATACGATCTATTTGATGACGATTATCACCTATTTTTATTATAAAAAATTTTTCATGAAAAAATAAACGATAAACTATTCAATACCGCTAGATAGAACTCTTGTATATTCATGAACATTTCCTTTGATACAAATATATACACTAAAACCTAATCGATGAACTGTAAATATAGCTGCTCGATCAATTAATTCTGCTGGAAGAATGGATTTCTTAAATATTCTTGTAGTATTTTTGTCGTCGACCACTTTTTTCGCTTCAAATCGTTCAAGTTCGAGTCTTCTCAATCGAAATTGCATCTAAATAAAATAAATAATATCAATTTACTCCTTGAATTACTTTGTCTTCTATTAGAAACCTTTTGTCTCTTGATTCACAGAAAAGATATTCCCTTTAAAAAAACATCTTTCAAGAAGAACAAAAACAAAATAGGCTGTAATTCCTATTGTACAAAATAATTATAAATGTATATGAAAAGATAATCCATAGACAAATCTAGTTTAACAATTTTGAGCATTGAATGAATACAAAAATGGACAAAATCAACAAAGACCGAATATGACTAGCTTCGCTTTGACTTTCATTCTTTTTTGTGGCTATGTTTTTTTTTGTTTTGAACAAGTTCTTTTCCGATGAATATGTGTAAAAATATTGACGCTTGAAGCTCAAACTTAATTAAACTTAATAAGCTAACAATGGAACTGTTTGTCATGTCAGATAATTTGCTTAAATATGTTCCGACCAAATTATCACTCTCACCGCCAAACTAACAAATTTAAAATATTACATGCCCATAGCGAGCCTGGACTGAGATATCGGATTTCCCAGTGAATTTTCTCTACAGGACCCCACTGTCCCAGCACAACCATATTTTCGAATTTCGACCTGAAACTTTGTACAAATGAAGATCCCAATGAGATTAGCTTAGAGAAAAGATTTCAGAATGGTTGAACATTTTTTCTTCGAGATATGAGTCTCAACATATTGGCGTTTTTCTATAGAAATTGTATATTTTGAGAGACTCATATCTCGAAGAAAAATTGTCCAACCATTCTGAAATCTTTTCTGTAAGCTAATCTCATTGAGATCTTCATTTGTACAAAGTTTCAGGTCGAAATTCGAAAATATGATATTGCTGAGACAGTGGGATCCTGCAGAGAAAATTCACTGGGAAATTCGATATCTCAGTCCAGGCTCGCTATGAGCATGTAATATTTTAAATTTATTAGTTTGGCAGTGAGAGTGATAATTTGGTCGGAACATAGTTAAGCAAATCATCTGACATGACAAACAGTTCCATTGTAAGTACTTAATTAATTAATATGTAATTAATGAATAACTCCTGAACTTTATGAAAGAGAAATCTTCGAATGCTAGAATAGATTCTACATCATAGACTATATTTATAGTGAAATTCTCAGCACGATCGATCTCGAAAAAAAATTGATTTCTAACAAATAGTTGTCCAAAGATCTGCATTCATTAAACAGTAAGGCTCTTTGCTTTGCTATCATCTTATGATTCATAAGAAGGATTTGTAATATTTAGAATCGGTTTTTGAACATTGCATTCAGTGGCAAGACGTCACTAACGAATGAAATAGTCCATATATTCCTTAGGCATACTAAAAGTATTGAGAGAGGCACTATAATACATTATAGAAAGTTTGAATAAGTTCTTTCTTTCTTTCTCTCTCTCTCTATATATATACTGATGATTTAAACGGTGTTCTAGAATTTTATAATACTTCATTATTTTTTTCTTGGTATGATAATATTGGAATTTCAACTGAAGATGCTCATTTCAGATTTTTTTCGACTACAAAACGAATAAAGAACGAAATATATAAATGACTCATATCTCCATAGCAACGTATGAAGATTTAATTCATTCGAAACCTATACAAAGTTCAGCACATTTTAACAAAAACGAAAAATGACAAAAACGATCATCTCTAATTCCGCTTGAATATATTTCTGATATAGATGTACCTGTCTTATTAAACAACGCAAAGAAAAACGATCAGTTTTCATTTTTTTTGTTAAATTTTATCTAAACTTTATCCTATAAAGATGTTCTATCTAACTTTTATATCTCATTTATAATAACATGATTATTTTGATTAGAACAATGACTAGTGACAATTAAGATAAAACAAATAATTTACCGTCCATTCAGTTCTTTTTTCAAAACAATATTCTGGATGATAATAATATTCATTCATTGATGTTAATGCTCCATATGATAATTTAACATGAATACCATGAAAAAATTTAATTCGACCTAAGATTGTATTATTTGTAATAGATTCGGGTTGATTTTTTATAGATTCAATATCAATATTAAATTTTGTTTCATTAAAAGTTGGCCGTCGTTCGAATGCAAACCAAAATTTACTATCTTTAGTTAATAAATCAATAGGAGATATATGTGTTTGAGGTATTACTAATTCTTTTGAATTATTATTTAATCTTTGAGATTCAAGTTCAGAAAGACGATAAAAACGTGTTGTCCGAGAATTTAAACAAAATGGCCATATATCCGCATAATTACGTGTTGGTTCATTTTGAATTCCATGTGAATCAAGAATGCGAATAGCTTTCCTATAATCAGATTCATTGTCAAAAACAATTTTTGTTGTACTTGCATTAAACGAAAAATCAATCGTTTCATTGAAAGGTTTCTTCTATATAGGAAAATAGTATTTTTTTTTTTTTATATCAAATTCGAAAAAGAAAAAAGATAAATATTTACTGGAATCGATTCGTTATAATCATATCCATTTATTGCTCGTCTACTTGTTGCTGGTGGTGATGCAATTGTTAGATATTGATCATTGCCATTCATTTGTTTAGGTGATAAAGTTTCAGATTTATATTTATCAATAACAGTTGCATAGTCACAAGCGAGAGAAGTAGATGCTGGACTTGGAGGACTCTAAAATTCGAAAATATCTAATTTAACAAAGTTAAACAAATAAAGAAATATTGTTACAATAGATATTGATCGTGAACCACGACCCCAGCCAACAGTAAAAGGACATGATGATGAAAATGAAAATTTTGATGGAGGTGTTGAGCGTTTGACATGACCGTTACTGAACTCTGCAATTAGAGTATCATGACCATTTTCTTCTTCGGTTTCTTCCACTTCTTCATCTAATTCCTCTTCTTCATCTTCTTCATCTTTTTCTTCTTCTACTATTTCGTCTTCTTCCACTACGTCATCTGCTTCTTCATCGTCTTCGTCTTCATCTGATGAACGTCGATGAAGCAGTTGCAGTGATGTATGAGCTTCTGGATTAACAAGAAATGTATTTGTTGAATTAATTGTTGTATCAATAAATAGGTCTTCTGTCATAATTATCTTTATTAGATAGAATTCATTAAGTATATTCTTCTTTTTCTTTCATTTAATTTCTAATTTATACGATATCCTTTCGAAAACATCCACAATTATTCATTTTTCTAAGGTGTGATGGTTGAACAATTTGATTGGCTATTGGTAGTCACTGTGTATATTGAATGTGATGTAGTTGTCGCTAATTTTTATCGATATTTAGTGGTAGTTAAGATAAATAGTATAGGATATTTTTAATTTTTTCCAACAATACTAAGTATCTAATTTAAATCCAACTAGTAGCTTAAATAAACTATGATTATGTTAGCAAGGTTTTTTAAAAATAAAATTGAAAACCATGATTTTTCAAGTTCTAGAAGACTTTGTAAGAATGTTTTTTGATAATACCATTGTAAAGAATAAGAAATTCTGAATAAAATAAATAGTCGCCCCATTTTCTACAACTCTCTTTTGAAAGTCTACAAGAATCACAAAAACAAAAGAAAATTAGGGCGATTGTCAGCGGGCTTTTAAAAGGTTTCACTTTTTTCCCATTTTTTGCGATGCTTGTAACTTCTTTAGAGAAAATTGTAGAAAATATGGCAATATTTCAATTTATTCGGAACTTTACGCTCTATAAGATGATAGTGTCAAATATTTATTCTCATGAAGTCTACTGAGGCATAACAATCAGCGTTTTCGGTTTTTAGAAACCTTACTCCTATAGGTTATCTTTGAAATCTTGATGCGGATTATATTATTTGTTATTTAAATTCCAAGACTTCAAATGTTGTCGATTTAATAGATTTTAGTGGAATCTTTATTCAATATAGTATCATATTTTGTACTTTTCATATCATATCATAATAGACGAAATTAATGATATTTGTCTTATTATCGCAACTATTCATTTAAAGTATTTTTTCCCTAAAACAAGTCGAAGCTCATTTATGGATTTTGTTATTGTTATTTTTCTTGTACATGTATATAGCAGCTGTTGTTTGTAATTGTTAAGTGCCAGTCTTTTAATAATTTACACGTTCGACTCTTGAATCTTTTCTTGTCTTACAACGGTATACAATAGTAACTAATCTATAATTGATGTATGTTATGTATCTAAGAAACTTACGAGAGAACTTCCCAAAATATTCAAGCGGTTTAGACTCCATCTTTTGATCATAAGCAGACCTCGATGAAGTATGAAAAAGCTGAAAAGGATTTATTCCCTTAAGGCTTTTTTTCTCGAGTTATGATCTTTTTTACTCGATGTTCACCATGTTGCATGGGTACTTTGAAAAGAGTTGAATGTCCTACCTTCGGTCGAACATTTCGCTTATAGATAGATCTGATAATCGCTAGGATGTTTTAAAATTTTCAGCCCAAACGGATGCGTCATTTCCGAAATGATCGAGTTTTACCGAAATCAGTATTCTAATGACTATTCTCAAGGATAGTGCTACTTTGTTAATTCAACTATCTGCAGAGGGGCACATTGGTTTAAACTGAAAGTTTTAGGATATCTTAGTGATGATAATATCTATCTATGAACAAAATATTCGATCGAACGTACGGCATCCAACTCTTTGCGAAATACTATGCAACATGGTAAACATCTAGTAAAACCAGAGATGGGCAAGTCAGCTATTTTTTCACTCAAGTCAAGTCAAGTCATTTGTCAAAGAGAGTCAAGTCAAGTCATTTGTCAAAGAGAGTCAAGTCAAGTCAAGTCAAGTCATTGCTCAAAAAAAAATATCTTTAAGTCAAGTCAAGTCAAGTCATCAATTTGAGATACGCCATTGCAAGTCAAGTCAAGTCTGTGTTCTAACCAAGTCAAGTCAAGTCAAGTCTCAAGTCATTGACTTGAATTTTTTTTTAAATTTCATAACTTAGTTATGTATTAATTTATTGAAAAAAACATTAAATCAATTCAGTTGTAATACAAGTTGTAATTGATCTAACCAGTTTAACACAATAGATCACGTATGATGCACACTCAGCCGTATAATTGCTTATATACTTGCGAGTGTCGATGTCAGATAGTTTCTTTTGTGAGATCAAACAGACTAGACGAATAAACAATGAATTGAGAATTCATTGTTTATTCGTCTAGTCTGTTTAGGACCTTATTTTATACGCACAGGTCAAATATAACCTGACGAGAATCTAATATGCATTGAAGTTGCAAAGAATATCTGACTTGACTTGTATTTTTTTGTCAAGTCACAAGTCAAGTCAAGTCAAAAAATGAAAAATCAAAGTCAAGTCACGTCAAGTCGCAAGTCATTAATAAAACCTTTCAAGTCAAGTCAAAGTCAAGTCGCAAGTCATTAAAAAATTTTTCAAGTCAAGTCAAGCAAGTCAAAAATGACTTGACTTGACTTGCCCATCTCTGAGTAAAACGGTCATAACTCTAGACAAAAAGTGTTAAGGGGATGAATTATTTTCGACTTTTTCATACCTCTTTGAAGTCTATCTATGGTCAAAAGATGGGATCTAAACAGCTTGAACATTTTGGAAGGTTTTGTCGTGAGTGGCAGTAAACCACAGCGGTTTATTATCAATATGTGAGACGAAAATTGCACAAACAAGCAAATAAACAAGTAAACGTTTGGAACATTGATGAGACTACATAAAGAACATTATAATTTCTTCTATATTTACAGGTCTTTTATGTTCTCACAATGTTCTTTTTTTATTTTACCATAATAATAAATAGTGATATTGTGTTCATCATGGAAATAAGTCAATAATTAAAGTAAAGTTGATTAGTTTTGTGCATTATGTATGAGTCTATCAATTATTTTATGAAGTTCTTGATAACTTGCTAAACTTGAAATCATCGAAATTAAATCAGACTGTAAAAATGGCAAAAAAAATGTAAAATGAAATACAATCAATACGATTCAAACAAGAATATGACAGTTCATAAACTGTCTCAATCTCAACTATATATAATTCACCGATGTATTGGCAAATATTTACAGTTGCAATTTAAAAACAGATAGGGTATAATATGATTACATATCTTTTCTTTCGCTACATTTTATGATCGACTCTCAAATTATAGTTCATTTTTCTCTAGTTGATTTAGTCTTCTGTTTTTCATATTTGTAAATGACTCTTATTCCATAGTGGTAAGCAATTTTACCATTCATTATCGGCATGTCAAAAAAAGTAAAAAGATGATTTCTTTTTTTTTTTTTTGGTTACTGACATAAACATTAAAATGATTCATTGCATTGACAAGATCTAATAAAACTATAGTATGGATTAGATATTCATGATCTGACAACAAGATTCAGATGGAAATTTGCCAAGTGTCTTTATTTCAACTTGAAAAACTTGGATGATGAAGACAATGTACAAATGAATCGGAAATATTTTTATTGATTAAAATACGACAACTGTGTTTGATTTTCATTTAGAAAAGAAGTGTTGTATTCGAATGTTAATTCTTTAGTAAGCTATGCGCGAAAGAATTTCTTTATTCATAATTAAAGAGTATGTATATTTTTTTATCAAAGTTTATATTCAAAAGAAAAAAAACGAGAAGAAATACAAAAACAGCAAGAAACAATATTGGGCAAATCTGCATAACAACAAACAACAAAATAGATTTGATCAGTGGCTACTGTTCTTAACTGTTCAAGACGATATTCAAACATGAGACAATGGAATACAAAATAGTCTACTGTAATTATCCTTTTGTTCTTGTTTTTTTTTGTTATGGTCTTAATTGATTTAGAAAAACATGAAAACAAAAAAAGTTTCGAGTTCTTATATCTGACACAAAACGAAAAAAATAATCACAAGATGAATAAAAAATAATTTCTCTACGAAGAAAATGACCAACCTAAAGAGAAATAGGAAAGAATTATTACAAAGAAAAAAGATATAAAATAAGACTTAAATGTATTTATATATATATATACCTGAATTCATAACTGGTAGTTTTTCACGATCTCGTCCATTTTGATTTCCTCGCGAATTAAGTGAACCCAAACCAAAAAATCGACCATCTCCATCATTATCACGATTACCAAAACGATTACGGCCACCAGTAAATTCACGTTTTCGTTCTTGCATTGTTTGAAAACGTTCAGCCATTTGACGTAATTCGCCCGGTACATTCTGAAAACGAACGAGAATTATTTATTGATTGATTAATTGCTTTCGATAAAAACAAATACTTGTCTAGCTTCTTCTAAAATTTTTATAAGTCGACCAGCACTACCCCAATTTTCTCGAGTAACTAATGAAATAGCATATCCTAAGAATAATTCAACAACAATTAAATATTTCTAAAATTAAAAGAAAACAAGTCATGTACCTGTTTTGCCAGCACGACCAGTTCGTCCAACACGATGAACATAATCTTCCATTGATTTTGGTAAATCATAATTGAAGACAACTCTTAACATAAAAGAAAGTTTTTATTGATTTTCATTAAATAAAAAAAGTTTAAAATTAAAACTACGTTATATCTTGAATATCCAAACCACGTGAAGCCACATCAGTAGCAATAAGAATATTTACAGTTCCTAATTTTAAATCTTCAAGAGCTTGTTCACGATCACTTTGTTCTCTAAAAAAAATCAGCATGAAATCAAATTTATTAGGAAAAAAGAAAATGTTAAAATGTAAATCTTTACCGATCACCGTGAATGGACTGACAAGAGATATGTTTTCGAATAAGTTCACTCGCAACAGCATCAGCTCTACATGCAAAATCAACAACGATACTATTTATCTTAACTATAAATTAACTGACGATGATTTGCGATCAACAAAAACGATCATTTTATCTTCTGAATCCATTCGACCAATAAAATCCAATAACTAAAAATAAAATAAAGAAAATAAAATATTGATAATAGATCTTCTTTTACTAAATCAAATTTTTCTTCTTCTTTAACAATTTCAATTTCTTGTCGAACACTATGTACAGCCTATCAAGAAAGGATAAAGTTATTAAGGAATAAATATGTATATATACATTATATACATACAGTTAGATCAAG